TTTTCTGTACATTCTCTTTATTTTCTTGTAGAGAATAGAGACACCCAAAAAAGCCCCCTCCCAAAATATGCTGACCCATGAGTTTCCTTAATTTCTAAAGGGGAAAGAGCAGGTGCAATATTGAGCACCATGGAGCCCGTCACTATTACAGATGCTATTACTCATCTGCATCAATGATTCTCCCAAAGTCTTTTGTCACATACAAACAAAGACTGCAAATGACACAGTCACAAGACAGAACAGCTTTTTGAGCGTTGTACAGACATCCAGGTCCCTCTTTGGATACTGTAGTTGCCTATATTCTGCTTTTTTGATTTAGTCTTCTAACTTAAAGAATGTAACAATCCTAGTGTCAGGAACTGTTATCTCTCTAAAGGAAATCAAATTCGGGTCCTATGAATCTTTCCTAGTGCTTTCACCCAGAGCAGCAGTTAATAGCTACATTATGGAGAATTACATTATCTCCTAAATTCACATGCTACCCATAAATTCAAACTACATCTTCCCCGCAGTTCACTTCCTATCCCATTCAGTATCTCCTATTTTTACCCCAAACCTTAAATGCTGTAGCACTTAACTTTAAAATGGAAGAAGGTGTAGAAATTGTGGAGGGTTTTTTAAATTAGAATAAAGCATTATGATCATAATAGGGACTACAAAACATGTAAATACATTATATTCTTCAAAAGTACTGTAATAAGTAAAAAAAAAAAGAGACAATATATCAGGTACAAAAGAAATGTAGTAGGGATTAAGCCCTAAAAATACAATGTAACCTTATCTTTGACAGGTGCATTATATCTACTGCTAGCAGACTTATGGCTTTCTGTCTAGTTTTCATTTTAGCAACCTTTGTCAGCTTGTCACACCTGTACATTTGGAATTGAACTACAAGATAGGGAGAGGAGTTTCTTCTCAAATCTTAGAGAGATAACTTGTGCATCAAGTATTTTAAAAGCTGATAAGGCAGCTACAGCATTCCTGGAAACTTTGGGATATTATAGTAAAATAAAAGTCAAGAGCTACAATATGCATTTGGTGCATATGCATACATGAAATGGTTTGCTGGCACCTACCAATCTATACAGAGTAACTGCCTGCAGAAGGATAATCCAAGTTAGTGCCCTTTTCCATATGTATTTCTGATTTCTGAAATAAAACATGCATTTCTAGAGACAATTTTTCTCTATCTTCTTTTCCTTTAGTCAAACTTCCATTGAGGAATGCTGAACAATTTTGATCCTTTTGGAAATGGCTCACAGCATCTGTGCTTTCTTGCACCTATCACATAGGCTGGAAGCTCAAATACCTGAAGCTGTTGCAACATACTGAAGGAATCAACTACAGCTGATTAGCTCCCGTAACTGTAGAGAGAAGTGTGGGACTCTGTGTCTCTTGTTACATGTTGTTGTTCTTACAATCAGATTTCTATCTAAGCAGTTTTCACTTGACTTAAACTGTTTGTGGGATTTTTTTTTTTTTTAAGTTTCAAGGGATCTGAAAGATTTCTTGAATTCTACTGCTTAGCATTATTGTCTAGCATTAAAGGAAATGCGTGTTCAATCCATGTTCTAAATTTAGCAACAAGTTACATGTTCAGAGAAGTTAAAACTTGGCTCAACACTGTTTGCCTCCGTAAATGGCTTCATTAGAATTGCATCTAAGACTCTTTTCTCCCCGGATCTTAGTCACCTTCAAATTTACACAGATGAGATGCTACAGTACAAGGCAAAACAACATGCAGATATGTAAATCTGTTCACCTATGTACAGGTAAAACCAGTGGTTTCTTAAAAAATTACGGATTGTGACACAGAAATTAGCACACACAATTGGTTCTCTACATGTATCAAATAGGGGATGCTTCCATTGCTATCATTAGCATAACTGAATGTAATTTATGCATGTACAAGTCACCTTTAAACTATGTAGGTTAGGTTTTGTAGCTCTTTTAACTAAGGCAACGCAAAGCTTCAGGCAGGCTGCAAAACTTGATGGAGGAGCAGGGCCAATACTTCAACATATAGAAGACCACAATGAGTTCCAGACGACTGTTAGAATGGGGCCGATATTTAATTTAGCTGCTTATAGTTGAGACCAAGTTTTTAGTTTGATGCATTAAATGCTTATTCAGTAAAGAACTCATCAAAATGTCAAAAGCAATAACCCTAAACTTTAAGTACCAATTCAATCTGTCAATTCATTTTTCATTTCTGAAATCATAGACAGTAATTATGTATCACAATTTTGACAGGTTTCCCCCATAGACCATTTCACTTTTCCGCATATCCCTTCTTCAAGGGATCAGAACAACTCTAGGGTTTATCCCTTGTCCACGTTGCTGCTCTTTACATGCTTTTGGCTCCAAAATCAATTGTTCTTCCTTCTTTAGTGTCTTACAGGTGTGGGGGTTTTGTGGTGTTGGTTTTATTCCCAATCTCTAGTGAAATTTACTGAAGTGTGTCTTGGGTCACGAACCACATCATGAAAAAAAGAGGAAACTTTACAACAGTGATCTATTTACGACAGTATACTATCTATGACAGTATTGCTAACACAGAATATCTTCCCAAGTGTATGCTAGATAATGTCTAACATTATATATCAGATAATTTGCCCTAAGGAAATAACAAATACGGAAGTATATAAGAGCCTTCTGAAATTACATTATACATAGCATTTGCACAACTGTTGAAAAGAAGGCTGAAGAGGTGGCAGAATATAAGATGAACAGTGTTACAGATGACATTAACATGAAAAAGAATATGAAAATCTTTCCCCTCAACTAATTTCCAAACTTTTAGGGAGTAACTTACTGCAGTCTTATCTGTCACAAAACAACAATTTTTTGAGTGTTTGCTCATGCTTCTTCCTCCCTGGATGTATCAGCAAAATCTAGGAAATCACAGGCAGTCCTAGAATTGGAATAGATTTATTTTATATGTACTGGACAAACATAATAGCAAAGATTATACAGACAAACCGACTCATACAGAAATCAAAAAGCTTTCTTACCTACTAAATATTCCACTAGCAGAAAAGGCAATTTGGTTTGTGACTAAAGTACTACCCTGAAAATCAGACTTTGTTCCATCTCTAGTCTGCTCTGTGATCTAAAAGTAGGTTATTTCAATGACTCGTTTGTCTCATTTTTTCCTCCTTAGGTAGATAACAAAAATCAAGTCTCCCTTGCAAGTGTTTCGATTTAAAGGTGAAAAGTACCATGCAGGCCTATTATTATAATAATCTGATGAACTAGGAATGGTCAACTGATTTTAAAAAGTCTATGAACATTCATAGTTACTATAATACATTCTTGTCACACACAAGAGTAGCATTTACACAGCTTATATCCAAGGAATCAACAAAAGAAAGAATTAAAGGAAAGAACATGGAATGGGTGGACTCTTCTTCACAGAAACTTAGAGGACATAAAGTGACTAATAAATGCTTTTTCCATACAGCAAATATCATAGACTACTATCATCACATTTTAACATTTATAACATATTTTAAAGTAAGTATCATTTACCACTCCTGTGCAGTTTGCCTTAAAGTTTTTATCAACCAGACACATAGAGAAGTTATTTCTTCTAACATAATTACAGATGAGATTCAAATAAAATATTAAAATAAATCCTTTACCTTCTAGAAAATATATTTTAATAGTGAATTAAAAATAAAAGATTTGTCTCTTCCTACTGCCAGGAGATATGTCAAGAAACAGTATCTTCTTTGAAGTTGTAAAACTTGCCTAAAAATCAGTGAAAAAAAGTAACTTACTAGAGAATAACAACACTTCCTTCAAAGCTTAGTGGTGACTGAAATGGAATATATTTTTTAATGAATTTCCTTGCACACATCTTACAACACCAGAGTAGCTGAATTGTTTATTTCAGAAGAACTCATACGTACAAGTATGATTTTAGAAAGTTCACATGCAACAGATTGTGGTAAGAGTCTGTATATTTTAGTATCACTTACTTTCACCCAACTGCACACAAGAAAATTATTCAAATTACAAAAAAGCTTACTGGAATGTTGATTTTAGCAATTTTTTTCTAAATTCCACTTTGTAAAACTAACAATAAATCTTTAAAAAAAATTAACCCAAAATACTGATTTTTGAAAGGGATATTTGTGGAACTTAAACATAAAACATTATTATTTTCATAAAATACAAAATGCGTGAACATTTTTAAAATACTCAATGTTTCTAAAATATTATGGAGTTGATAAATCGTCATAAATTTAACACATGTTCCCTCTAATTAAAAAAAGTGGTTCTCAAAATAAATCAACAATTCCCTAGTGCACTTATAAAGAGAAAAGATCAAAAGCACTAACTGGTATCTTTCCTTCCAGTGTTAATTAGTAATTAAACATCTTAGCTTCATTAGTACCTACTCTGATATAGGGGTTTTTTTGGTGGGGTTTTTTTTTTTGGTGGGGGAAGGGGATGTCACACAGACAAATCCTGCAACAAAAGTCATGAAAATTAACCAGCTTTGAAACTGCTTGCCTTCATCACAGTTAAAAAAGGATATGAGACTCCATTATTTTCTTTTAAATAAGCATCTTCCTTGAAGACCTCAGCTTTCATTTAGTCTTGAGTTGCATGTAGTTGCATGTATTGCATAATTCTACTGGCCAAGTAACATCCTTTCTCTATAACAAGTTCAGATATGTCTGATAATTTTAAGCAGAAATAAAAATATTAGAATCGGTTCTTTGGCATAGTACAGAAGTTGACAACTCCTACTATTTGGATTGACTGCAAGTCCTAAAGAAGAATTTTCTGTGTTTGGAGCAAAGGGGACAGGACGGGACTTGTCACCGTTTCAAAACCAAGTAGATTAAATGAATGTCCCTTTATGGATTTCAAGTGTCCTCCATTTGTAATTTACTTGATGTCTTCCGTACTGATTCCATTTTCACTTGCATTATCACAGCTGAATATTTCCTGCATACAAGGTAATCATCAGTATAGCAATAAACCCCGTTAGTAAACCAGCATTCTGAATAAGGAAGAATGTGAGATCCATCTTTCTTCCTGTCACTTTCTCTCGCAGCATATCATTCATCTCTGGGAACTGAAAAAAGGGATATTTTTAGGTAAGTATTGCCATCTTGTGGTAGCAGGCATAACTTAAGGCATTAAGAACTGAACCATATGGCTACTTTGGACTGAATATTAGAACTAACAGAGGGTGAAGGCAGTCACAGGAACAGGCCACCCTAATTACCCTGAAAAACCACTTCACCAGGGATGGTAAAATGAAATGGTGTTTTGTTCCTCTCTACTGTGATTTCACCTGGTTGTCTCTCACGCAAATTTCCTCTTTTTGATTCCAGCAGTCTCCTAGGGTCAAATTGTTGGTCCATATGTTGCTAGGAGCAGCTGCCCTTGTATTGCTAAATGTTGTGTTTCGTCCTTCACTAATATAAACAGAGAAATCCTTGTTCAGGAAATGGAAGATTAGGATTCTTCTGCTTATCTATAAGCAAATGAAGTGAAGCTGAAAACACAGGGAACCCCTCAGAAATAAGAAATCTGTTACAAATAGAAGGTCTGGTGGGCTGATGAGGTAGTGGTAAAAGCAAGGAAGAAAGAAGAAGAATGTTGTGAAACTGGTGGTAACACATGCGGTATTACACTACAGTGCAATGAAGGGATTCTTCATTCCGTAACAGGCATCTTAATGGCAACATAATAGCAAACAATGACTGATCTGCTGTTAACTGCAGAAACAAAGATACTTCCTCTGAGAGCCAATGGAGGTGACGGCAGATGAGCACTGGCAATAAAGTCCCCTGTATGGGGTGATTCAGGGTGTGTGTGTGCTGCAGATAAAGTCAACCACAGTGGATTTTGACAAACATACTCAAATAAGCTTTAAACTCTTCTCCTGCTCTGCTGAGAGTAGTACAGCCAGAATGCAATGAAGACTGTATATTTCAGTGTTAGTTTAGAAACCTTCAGGATGGTGACTCAGAAGCTGTATCTTTCTTTGATCTCACAAGGCAAAAACAGCCATTGAAGGTAATGCAACTCTTGAAGAACAGACTAAGGTTACTGGGAAGTGGCCAAACCCTCCCAGAAATCATTCCAGAGCTCCGTAATCCTCTTGCACAAGAGGCAAAGACAACAAACCAGATCAGCTTCATGCCATACAGCAAGGCTCATTTGTGCACACACCTCAGTGTACACATTCTCACATGCCCACAGCCTCACCACACAGTGATCTTGCTGGCAGAGTTTGGACTATGCCAATACTGGAGGAAAAAAGAACAGCAAAAAGAAAAGAAGGAAGGAATGACATTCTAGTTAATCCTACCTGCTTCTGGACAAGCAAACCAGAAGTGTGTGAAAATCATAACAGAAAGCGGAAAGCCAGATCTCTGTACTTGAATACCCTATTTCAGACTTTTCAGGGGGAAGAAAAATTCAGATAGGTAACTGATACAATCCAAAAACCTATAAAAAGAGAGAGAGATTGGCGGGGAGTGGGGAGGGAGAGAGACAGTGAGAGAAAAACAGAGAGAACAGAACAACAGATGCAATGAAAAGAATGTTACCTACTTTGGTGGATTTAGTAACAAATTTAAGTTGAGCCACTCTAAATTTATGCCATGAGTTTTACACATCATAGTTGAGTACACTACTATTCATTATATAAGAGTGAAACTAAATGAAAAGCATTAGCAATTAACGTACTGCAAACTTGTAAAATAAACTATTTCTATTATTCATTTAACTCTAACATTATTACTTATTAAATCCTATGTTATTACCTAAACTATAATAGTATTTAATGAAATAGTCACTATAACTATATGACAGTTCTTAAATGCATATAGAACCAAACTGGGGTCTCAAATCTTTTCAAATTCAGGCCTCACTCTTCCAGTTGTACACTCAAATGGATTCTCATGTGGCAGGTGTAAGCACCTTTGCAGATGTTCTTACAACACTGAATTAAACATAATAAAACTTAAAATTCTTGAAAGATCTCTCATTTTGAGATAAATCATCATCATAAGGGTAAATTATGGAATACTGCTGACTGCCTGTAAATCCAGATTTTATTTCCCAGCGTCTAAATCTGATCTGGATCTTAGCACAATTTCTTCAGCTTATATCTTCTAGCACACTTTAAAAAATAAATGATAGACAGACTGTTTTGAACAGAGTTCAGCAAATTTTTTAGTCTGGACCAAGAAACTGGGGCTGGCACTGTTTAATTTAAACCAGAACAGAATTTAAGTCAGGTTTTTCGCCTAAAGAACCCAAAATTATCACTGTGGTTACACAACACCTTTCATTCAACTCAAAACTAAATATTTAGTTTCATTTTGTTTACCTTTTTTTTTCTTTTCTTTCAAAATATGGCATAGACAAATGAACCTTTTAAAAATAAGGTGAAATACTTTGCCACTTTAAAATGCTGAAACAAAGTATTTATACACTTTTTACTCTTTGATGAAACCAGCCCAAATTCATGAAAAGCTTGTCTCTCTCTCTAAAACTCCTTTTCAGCAATAATCTGATCAGCCCTATTTGTGAAGTGAAAGGCTTTCATGTTTCATGAATAAGCGTAACTATTTGTGCACCTCCATTAAGGGTATAATTGATGATTTAACATCTACTAATAATAATAAGTAGATGACACTGGCATGAGAGGGACAAAATACTAAATTCTACTGGAGACACTTAGTGAGGTCTTTGTTTTCTTGCAGAAAAATAAGTAACTGAAAATGAAATTATATCTCACCATATCTGCCAGAGAGATGTACAGGAACATTCCACCGGCTACGGCAAAGATGATATTAGGAGCAAAGTTGTTGCCTACTAATATACCAAAAGCCAACCCAATGTAACAGGAACATGCAGACAGAAAGTTGAAAACCAGAGCCTGCCGAGTGCTCATTCCTGCATTAAGCAAGATGACAAAATCCCCTGAAAGAAAAGAAAGGAAAAAAAGAGAAAAAAAAGTATCTTCAGAAAACAATATTGAGATTATTTTCTGATTTCAAAGGAAGTCTGAAGAAAAGACATGATTTGTATACAAATTATAACCCCCTGCTGTTTTTCTTCATTCAAGTAAATTATGAGGATTTCCCTTCAATACTAAGGTAACTGAAATATTCTAAAGCAAATAGGTGATGCACAATTGAGCTAAGAGCACAGGAACACAGAACTACCTATAATGATTAAAAAAAAAAAAATTAATACAACAGCGTATGCAGCATATATGAACAGAGCAATTAATACCTCTCTAATATACATTCCCAGCTTTCACCCACCTGCACTTGGGAACTTCCTGTGCTAGGTGTGTATTTTGGTGCTTGGGAAGCTTTTGATGAATATTTTTTCCATTAATTTGTCTGAACTTTCAATCTACGCCAACTTTTGGCCAGCACAACCTCCTACAACAGTGATTTCCACAGTAAACAACATGTTGAATGAAGTTCCTTACCCAGTTCATGAGGAAACTCTTCACACAAGATGGCTATGGAGGTACTAAGCCCTTGAAACAGAGACAAAGTGAAAGAAGCACCAATAGCCAAACCATCTATGAAATTATGTACGGCATCACTCAGTGTTACCATCCAAGCAATGGTCCCAATCTTTGACAGTGGACGCCCATTAAGACACTTGCATAAGCTGCCTTGGGTGGTTTCTTCCTGGAAAAAAACAACACAATAAAGCAATTACATAAAACATAGAATAAAGAAGCCAACAAATCACACTTCTGTCTTTAAATGAATGCCAAGTATAAAATAGAGCACCATTGCATACGAAGACCAAAATGCTTGGTCCGAGAAGCAAGAGAGACAGGTAGCAGCACCAAATGTTTTCTGTTTCAACAAGTTAACACACAGGGCCCGAACACCCTTCTGACTACAAAGCTTTATCTGAATGCCCTTCAGCTGACAGAGAAAGCAGTTCAGACCATAGTGGTCTGAATGTCTCTCTGGAGTCTCTATCAGATTAAGAGTGCGCCATGGCTCCTCACAGCCTCCTCAGCCACCTCTATTAAGCAAGTACGGTGAGAAGGATCTGATCACAGTGACTGACAGCATCTGTATTTCCTACCTAAAACACATCTGGATCAGTTACATACTGACAGTACATCATGCTCGCAGAGACACACTTAGCTGCCACAGTAACAGCCAGGTACATGTGAATATAGACATATATCCAGATACTCCATAAACTTTATTTCTAGTTTTGGGCAATGACAGTCAAGTCCAGCTATTCAAATTAGTTTCTACAAAGTGCATGTTTAATAAAAACAGCAGTGGGTAATTCTGACTGTGCAAGTTAAAGGCTCAGAGCACGAAAACAACAGGCTAATATAAAACTGCAACGCACATACACACCAGGGATCTCAATAATTCCTTCCAGAAGTGGAAGTAATTTATACATGCGGTGCCATGAAATAATGAAAAACTTGAACCAGATAAAAGGAACTGCCATTTTACCTGGGAGCACAAACTAACCTCCCCTAAAAAATTCCTGATGATCCATTCTGATAAATTTCTGTACACACATATATTATAGCTACATAATATTTGCAAGCATTATAGTATTTCCCCCCTGAAAAAAAAGGATTTGCATATAAGGCATTAACTAGTGCTTACTTACTGGAATACAGTGTGCCCATATACATATTTATGTACCCCTCCTCTTGTAGGAGAAGGGTATAGAGGAACACCTCTTCCTCCTTACAAAAAGGTCACAGATTATTCCACGAAATTTTCCTTAGTTATTAAAAAGAACATTGCAAATTGTTTTAGTTTTGCCATATCAAATGCAAACGCTACCAGGCAACTGAATTTTGAACTTCATGGAAATATAATGATTAATAATTTCTTACAAAATCTTTAGTGACAGAGCAGTAAGGTCTGTCTCATGATTTGCTCACCAGACTCTTATCTGACATACTACATCCTTGTACGAGCCATCTTGGGACAGGACAAAAGTTCAGGTCAGGGATATCTGAGTCAGATGCCTGTTGTACTACTTGGAACTCGTAGCTAATAAAGCCTTGGTTAAGTAGTGCCACAACTGCCATAAAGCACACGTACAGCTCCTATTCAGTGCATAAGAAGTCCTGAAATTATACTTTTCTGATGTGAAAATAAGCAATGGTATCCAAAAATTGGGAGTTTCCCCGCCGACCCAAACACATAGGTTTTAGACTTGTACTACATGCTTGCCTTCAGTTTTTGGAGGTTTTCCTCTCAACATTTCATCTAACACACAAGCAATGCCAATCATATTTTTGGGATGATTAATTTGTACCTGTACTAATTCTGTTTGAGATAGGAACACTTATGATTAATAGACCTCTCTCTTAATCCACAAAGGCAACTTGAACTTCACTTTAAGAAAGAAACATTACAAAGCAAGCCACATAAAATACATATATTAGGTAACGGGAAGTAAAAAGAAACATGAATATGAGAAAACTCAAATACAATTAGCGAAGCTCTTCCACCTATTCATCCAGCTCCCTGAGCTGAAGTTCTGTTCCCCTATGTTTTTTTCTGGTGACCATCCTTCAAGCTGCCTAAGAACTGATGGAGGCATTGTTTTGTAGATCGTCCTGATTTCTGCCAAAAGCACATCTTCTTTCTTGGGCATGTTTCTAGCTTCACTGAGGAAAGGGAGTTTGCGACAATGCACAGATTTTTATTTTGAATAATTCATTCATTTTTCTACTAAAAAAGAACATTGTTGTTCTGGAAACCACACACACACAAAAAAACCCCAACAACAACAGCAAGTATTTTCTGATAAAACAACAATATTAATCTCAGTTTATTAATTAATAAACTGTATTTTGAAAAGGTGTATTAGCAACTTCTATTATACATGAGAAAGAGAGGTGGTGGTGGTTTTTGTTCTGTAAAAACTTTCTATTACCAAAAAATTGTCACATCAAATGTCAGCCACCTCCATAAAATAAATGGTTTTATGAAAAGAGTTTATTAGGATGAAAATTCCTAAGAGAGCAATGAAAACAGTGAGGAAATAATACAAATGTGCAAAAATGTCACCTGTACATACTTGTTTATGTTTGTTCCCATCAAAGCACATTTGTTTTTATGTGGGAACCATGTGTGTGCCTACAGTTTTCTGATGGCTGTAGGGGCATAACTGGCTTAGCCATAGAACTAAATAAAGAACCCATTTTCTGGTACCAGTTGCACAACTGAGAATTCCAATGACAGTCCAAAGCATTACATATGTATGACAAACATAAAAATCTGATCTGAAGGGATTTTTTGTTGAAATAAATAATTTACAAATGTATGTGCTGAACTTTCTATGCATGTATGAAGAAAATGAACATTGAGTAATAAGATCCTATTAAGAATTAGCTGTTGAACTCATCAAGAATGGAACTGACTCTAGAAATGTCCTGAGGTTTGGGTTGTTTTATCTATGGACTTTTTTTTTTTTTAAGTAATTCCAATTAATTTAGGAGAACAGTATTTATTTACTTCCAAAAATTACTTTCTTGATCCAATCTTTCAAAATGCAGAAACAATTGCAGTTTAAAAACTAGGAATCGGTTTCTGAGAGGCTTCTGTAATATATATACAGCTGTCTGCCATTTACTGTGTAGCTCTGAAGTATCATAATTCTTGCCTGTAATCTATTTTAGATAATGTCTTGACTTCTGTAAATTATATAAAGTACAATGACATTACATTCCGAACTTTACTAGATTGTGTGTCCGATAGAAGTAGATGAACGACTAATACATATTCTTAATGTTTAAGATAAGGCAGACTACTGACAAATTTACCCTACAAATATATAGTATTCCAAGGCAAAAATGAACAATGTCTGTCTCTGCTGGACTGTTCCCACTTTGTCATGGTAGTTTAGCAGACGTCACAGAAGAGATGCCAGCTAAGGAGCTCTGTAATACCCAGCTGGACTATCAGGTCTGACTTTTATTAATTATTAGTGCAGTTCTGTAATATTTGTATCTCCATAGTTTATAGTAAACCAAAGACATCCTTGGTATTTTTGCTCTTCTGAACACAATTGTTTCTTTAATAGTAATGGCCTCTCCTTTGTTCCCAAACTTAAGAAATTATACAGAGACTCTCTTATTTTATCCTATGATATCTCATCAGATAACTGTTGCTATTTCTAATGCATCTCTGACTCCCTCAGACATGAACCAGACATGTCCTTCTGTTCCTCTGGAAGTGCCCACAGGACCAAGAAGGAATCCTGACACTGCCTCCAGGGCATAAATAAAGGCCACCGTAAAGTTTTGTTATATAACTAATGTTGTGCGCTCAGGGATGCAGACATTTCAGCAATTTGTCTTTGAAACAACTTTTCTTCAAAGTTACTGTTGTCAAGCCATATAATTTTAATGCATAGTAGACAGAAATTTTGGGTAAGCACAAAAGAGGTTTCCAAGGTTGCAATTACTACTGCAAGTGAAATCTGAAAGTATGTGACTAATAAAAACATTTAGACTCTGGCAGTCAGTCTGTTCAGGCATTAAAAGAGAGAATATGGCTGGATCCCCATGGCTGAAAACAGCTACCACACTTTGGCACAACTGGACTTCAGACTCCCTCCTTAAAGCCTACATGATGATTTCTGGCTACACTGTGTTTGCCCTCTCTAATAAGCTTTAGATTACAAGGAAACATTAAAATTCTATTAGGTATGTGTTGGCTTATGCCAAATGGTTCCTTCATAAATACCAAATGCCTGTAAAGTTGAATGCATACCTACCCTCATGGCACTACCCCAGCTGCCCCAAAACCCCTCAGCCACATTGGCCCTCCCCTGCCCCCTAATGACTCTGAAGGCTGCCTGGCCCCTTTGAACCTGCCTGGAGAAGGATAAGACTAATGATGGCTTTCTTGTTGCTATGTCCAATATCAGCAGAAGGCTATCTGCCACTAGCATTTCCTTGCGGCCAGCCTTGGCTCCAGAGTGAATTTTACCCTGTTACTTTCAGAAGGTTTTAATACAACATATTCTCTTCCTGGCTTGGAGAAATGGAGAGGAAGAAAGAATGGAAAGCATGAATTTTCATACGAACAATAAGTAAAGGAGAAGAAACTTTGTGAAATTTTAAGTTCTTGAAGTCAAGACTGCATATAAAAGGAGATGTATGAGTATTCCACAAAGGACCTTGGGGTTACCTACAATACCTTATGATCATGAGCACTACATCTGAACTAGTTGCTAGAAATAAATGCTATATAGTTACATTTTATTATTATAATATATGGTATGATTTTGTTATGTTTATGTCACGTGTAAGCAGATGGCTAGCCAAAATGTAATAATGGAATAGGTCCAGATAAAACTTCTGGTAAACAGGGCAGAAAAACAACACCCATACCACTGGAGAGGACTGTCTCCGCAGAGAGTGGAGGGTTCTTTTGTTTGTTTTATGAATCTACAAAATACAGTTTAGGGACACTCATAATACTAATTCCCTCTTGGTGCCCATACAATTTTAATTATTAAGCATGTTTCTCCTAGTTTTTAAAATGCCCAGTATCCACCACACTTCATGACATTTCTACAGTAAGGACAAGTACAATTTTGGTACTTTAAACTGTGTGCATCAAACGCCCTGTGAGCCTGCAGGGTCAATGCAGAACTCTCAGATTCTCTCCCAGCTGTTAGGGCCTGCCTCTGGCTTCCTCTCCTGCTCCTCACTGCTCGCCACAAACAACTTACTGGCTAAAGAACATGGGTGGTAAAACAGAAATCTCTACTATGAAAAAATCTGCCTTAGTCATCAGAGAATTGTTTCTATGTGTTTATTTTTTTAAAATAAGGGACAGTACTGCTCCTCCCTGTACAGGGAAAAGCATAAAGAAGCACACCAACTTTCTCTTCCTGCTTCCATTTTCTTCTCAGACAGAAAGAAGTCGTATTTGTAGTATGAAAACAAACACAGAGAAATATAGACAACAAATTTGAAAGAGAACAATACTTAAACCAGGAGGAATGGCTTCTGTCTCAACATATTACCTCCACAATTCCCACAGTATCCAAATATACTGGACTAGCACAACCAGTGCTCACAAGATACTGCACAAAAGTTACTGTATTAGTTTTCCTCATTAATCAATGATTCAGAGGAATCAGGTTCTCACACTTATGGCTTTACGTAGTCAGGAACACAGTATGGATCATGCAACACTAAAACACACTATCAGTCTTGAAGCAAAACAATAACAACAACAACAAAATCAAAATTAACTGAATTATCTGATTAAATATGTATCTCTGTCCTACCCATCCTGACACTGATATCAGTTAGCTCTTTTTGTTGGCTACAAATTGAACGCCTCATTCAGCTTTTGTAAGCTTGCCCCAAAAACCCACATTTTTTTCGTAGGGCTCAAGCAAGTTATAAGCCGTAACTTTACAAAAACTTGACAAAAGTAATAAAAATTCGTATTAACTCTCCCCTCAGATATGGTTATTTAATTGGCAGGGATAAAATAAATAAATAGACACAATTTTCATACCTGTCCTGAGACCACACTGATGCTGTCAAAACCAAGATTTCCATTGCTCTCTATGACGGCTGAATTTGCATAACACGTCCCCCCATTGCTGGATGATAGTGGTTTGGGTGGGTTAGTCTTATCCTGAGAACAATTCTGTTCGCCATTTTCAGAGTCATTGTGGCCAGTCTAGGTGACAAATAAGTAAGTAGGTAGCTAATTAAAAAAAAAGCAAAATAACAAACATAAAAAAGAGATCAAAAAAGAAAAGGTGGGGGCATCATATTCATGCTGCCTTGCTTTCAACCCCAAGTAAATGTTTAAATGGGCAGCAGTAAACATTTAAATGTTTAAATGAACTCAAAATGTATCTAAAGTTCCTAACTTACCTCTTACTTTTAGCTAATCAGAATACATGTGGGGATTTTTCATTTTTATACCTTTATATAGAAACTCCCAAGCCGAACACCTGACTGTAAGTGATCAACATTTGCTAGTTATTCATGGCTGCTTGTCAAATAGAGCTTATTAGGCTTTGTCAACTGTTCCCAAAAATAAAGGGCAACAAATTCATTTTTTCTAATTGTTTTTTGGCGCAGTTATTACAAACGAGGGACAGCCGATCTTCATAATTTCAATATCAGCCACAGTTTGGGAGGGGGGACCTTAAGTGAGGTAAGAGTAGGAAGACAGGACAGTTTCCTTCGCAAGACATGAGCGGAGAGGACCAAAAATTTTCAGACACCCTTCTCAGACAAATTCAGCCTCACTCACGTGAGTACACAGAAAACAAGTACTCTGACATATGGGTAGAAAGCAGAGTCCCGTGCAATATGGATAACTGCAGGGCCACTAAAGCAGCTCTGTGTACCAGAGCATGGGGAAACACAGAGCTGAAGTTACTGAAGGTGAGGTTCAGGTACTGTCAGCACAGTTACACTTTACAGTTGATTAAGAAGGTATATATGTCACATTGATTTCTCCTGCCCAAAGGGGAGCTCCAGGGGCAGACTCCATTCTCTCCAGCTCTTACTTATTTCCACTTTTTTTTGATGCGTTTAGCTAGCACGGCAAAGACTTGGCCGTTGAGAGCAACTAGAGCATACGCCACTGACAGCAGACCACATTCACATCTGGATTCTATTCCCAGCTCTGCTTGTAACTCCCTCAAAAAAGTGAGATTGCTTCCCCTACCCATATGGATTTTAAACAGATATATCAGAACACATGGTAAGGCTGAATTCCTCAGATAAAATGGAAAAAACCACACATTTTATTAAACTATCAAGTATCTCATAAAATATAACAGGTACTTTAAGGCAAGGCTCGTTCAGTTAGTGATACATTTCATTACCTGCTTATAGATCTTCAATATCACTTTAAGAATCCTTTCCACAAAGAAGAGAATATAGAATCCACCAAACACAGCAACTGCTTTCTCAATATAGTTATCTACTTTGGGGTCAAACCCAAATGCCTAACAGTGAAGAGAAAAGCAATGCAAATTAGTCTGTAATCTTAGCACATTTCCAGAAAAACAAACAAACGCATGCCCCCCCCCCCCCCCAAAACCCTCCTAAAAAAAGGCACTTTCCTCTAAAATCAGACTGTATCTCTACCGACCATGAGTTTCCATGACGCTGAAATTATGAAAGATCTTGATCTTTTTAGATTTTTTTAACTTGGGTTAAATGTTAACAGTGTTTTAATTCGGTAGAACTTTACATGTGGAATGTAGTAGCAAAGTGCAAGACAAGGAGGGTCTAACCTGTAGCCCATTAAAGGTCACTATAATTTTATCCAATAAATTTCTCTTTCTGTCTAGAGGCAGAATAGCCCTTGGTCTTTCCCATGGCACAATTAGACATAGATCTTGATGGCTCTGCTCATCCAGCCAGAAAGAGATGGTAACTAATGACGCTGACGCCCACCCACAACTCTTTGGACACTGCAACCCACACACAGAACCCTACTGCAGCATGCTTCTAAAGTTAATACACTTCAGAAACTAGTAGGCAAACCAAATAATGATTCCCCGTGCTTACCTCTGGAATGAGCTGGAAAATTGCATTAGAAAAGAGAGTACCAATGGCCAAGCCCACAAAGTAGGTTAAAACCTTGGGGAAATATGACTTCTTTAAGAGGGGAGTTAAAATCAATCCCAGAAGTGATGCGAAGTTAATGATAGTCACAGCCAGGAACCCAAATCCCCAAACTGTGGATAAACAAGCAGAAATATAAAATATTTTAGTATAACACCCATTTCAGGCTGTTTGTGATTTTTCTAACAGCTAAATTGGCATGGAATTAGGGAAAAGAGTGGTTCCCTGGTTGAAATTATACTTCACAAATATAAAAATCTTAAAATGCATAGCTACTTACGATGCAAACCTGCAGAAAGGAAATATCTGGCAACATTGTCTGGGACTACCATATTAAAAATGGAAACCGTGCTAGGGTAAGATCTGGGATAGCCTATCTGCTGCTAGTATAAATCAGGCTTCTCTACAGTCAGTGAAGAGTAAAAATTAAGGCTTAGGCCAACAGTCAAAGTAGCTATAGCACAGACACAAGACAAAACTTCTTACTAGTCCCAGGGTTAGATCAAATTGTCATTGACTCCTAAGGAACTACAAGACAGAAAGTCTGCTCTCTTGGGTGTACTAGATCCAAAACCACTTCCTGATAAAGGATGACTCCTTCAAATCATCCTGAGGTGGTAACTTTCTGTTCCTAGCACTCCTCCTCCTCTAATTCAAAGTAGTTCTGCTGGCTGAAAACGCTGCCCATCACTGCTTATCAAACAGGTGAGGTGGCAGATAGCTGATAGTAGAGACAATTATAATAGAGAAATGAAAGCATATTAAAAAAAGAGGTTCTAGGTTCAAAAAGATGGCCATGTGATTTAGGTACACAATGGCGAAAACCCTTCCTAAGAAGTGGCAAATGCACCAGGGTTCACCATAACTTAGCTTCCTTCACCATAAGCATAGTCTCAGATTTTGAGTTCAGACACCAGGACTTGTACAAAGCCATAGCATAATTATTCTGGGGTCTGAATTATAAGGAGAAGGGCGCATTGCTGCTGTTGTTCATAAGCATCACAAAGTTGTGCCTCTATGCATGACTACTGTTTTTCCCAGTGACACCTCAAGTCCCTGTGAGTACAGAGAGAAGCTTTAAAGGTTGCACTGAAGAGGTCTACAACGCTGCCTCAAGTGATACCACAGAACCTCAAAGTTATCCACATAGACAGTGGGTTTGTCTATAAAAATTAACCACAAATAATAATCAAAGCCAACACAATGTTGGCTATATGAGAACAGTTCAGTATAATCCAGAAAGTTGCATCATTATAAACTTTACAATATGTATGTAGAGAAGTTACCATAAATTCCTTTCTGCATAGCAGAAACTAACAGATCAGATTATGATCTGCAGCCTAACTTTCCTGTAACACAATGGGAAAACACACTAAGCTAGATTCCTCACCTGCACCTGGGATGGCTCTACTTTGTTTGCACAATGTCACAATTTTTATATGTAATGAATTTTATACTATGTCAAGAACAGAAAGCATTAGAAACATTTAAAGCACTTGCAGAAGGTAAATTAATGCCAATTAGAACATTCATTTGCCATTTTTGAGAGAGAGGGAAAACCACACAACAAGATATGGGTAGAGTCACTAAGCTACACAGGAGATTAATTTTCATTAAAATAAAGGACAATTAAGCTTGTAAATATCTTTTTGAAATCAAATCTATAATAAACAAATGGGCTTCCAATGCCATCATGAATCACAAACCACTGTTTACAGTTTGGGATTACTATAGAAGCACGAGTCTCTTTCAGTTTAGTATACAGACAACTACACATTATTCTGTGCAAAACGTACATTCTAAACTGACTTAACAAAATAAAACTTCCATTTATCAGATATTAACCTTTTAGTGTACTTGCCCAAATTACTTCATCAGACACAGGAAATTAGAACAAGTTTCAAAAATTACAATTAAAAAAGCCAGTACTAGTTACTTTTTACAACAAAAGACAAAGAGGATAAATTTACAAATTGTGTGTGTAGATCAGTGGATGACAAAAATGACAGGAGAATAGAGCTTAAAACCAAGCACAGAAAAACAGGTTATTGCCAAATTGTGAGAGAAGTTCTCACGGTACTATATGCTTCACTAACAAATGGTCTAACTTTCATGCTGGTACTGTTTGTTCAGAACAGCAAAACACACTGGGACACTTAACTTGAAGTACATGTTATAAATCATACAACTGTTGCCATTTTGTATGCAATGGGAGATGTCTCATAAGGTACTAAAGGACCAGTGCTCACAAGTAGGGACATATTCTAATCCACTGGTATGTAGTATCCCCTTTTGTCACAAAAAAAATGTAAAATGAAAAGCTTTTCTTCTTCCTGATTGACCAGAGATTAAGGGTGCCAGCAGATAGATGTGGTTTTACTTTTAAAATTCTGTCCTAGATCTGGATGGCCCAAAGAACTTGGGATTTTACATATTGATATTTTGTTTCTGATTTATGCACCCAAAGTGGAAGACTAAGGAAGAATTAAAATAAGCGATTAAATAACCTCAGACAATGAAAGAATAAATTATTATCCATCCTAGGTATTCCACAGATCCTGCAATGAGCCTCAGTAGTATGGGGACTAGTTTAAACTAATGAAATTTTTAAAGGAATAAAAGAAATCTAATATCTTTCTTATACATTCTCCAGGAAGGTGCTCCTGGGCCTTGTGGCAAGCTTTTCTTTGAGTTTAGAAAGACCTGAAGTGTAATCGGGAAGAGGAAAAAAAAAAAAAGATTACCCCATAATTACACAATTACAGGAACTGGTACTACAATCCAAGACAAACAATGTCGCCAAAGTTCGTGTACTATGGACTGTATTTCACAATATCATGTATGCACTGCTGTCTTAAAATTGGTTTTATTCACTAGGACTCCATCCACACTAAGCTTTTAATGAGTCCATGCATCTCAGAAAGCTGGCTAGTCTGACTTCACGTTTCAGAGCACAGCATTCTGCTTAGGACACACCCTCACTTCCCCTGAGACTGGTGGCATGGTCTGCTCTTGCCAACTACCATTATTCTTTCTGTCTCTAGAACTGTGGCCCCAACAAAGAGACAGCCAAGATACCCAAAGCCACAAGAAATCCAAAAAATAAAGTGGCAAGAGTGCAAGCAAGATGCCCTCCTTAGAACACCACTGCTCAGCATTGTTCCTTATAAGATGCGGGGACAATTGCTCTGGGCCTTCCTGAGGCAGGCTCAGGCTCTTCCTTAGCCCTGTCCTGGGATGAAGAGGAAATAAAGGTATGAATACCTTTCTGAAGAAGCCAAGCAGAGCACAGAACCTGTTTGCCTTGTACAGAAGGAATGCCACTGGGTGTTTCCAGCTATTTCATGCAGCTCTATACGCCTCCCTATTACCTTTCAGAGAAGCAAGAAAGAGAAGGACACGAGTGTGCCCCTAAGGTCAGCTAGGTTACATATGAGATATACAAACCCCAGGGAAAAAGGACATGCTATATGCTGCCTTTTAACTTTTACTCTGCTTCGGCAGCACTTTTTTTTTTATTGCAAGTAGCTGTCCCGTAAAGCTTATTGTACTAATTTCTTCTGTATGTCTTGTCTGTTTGTATTTTGGAAAACAGAATATTGTTAAGTGTGTGGGAGTCCCTGCGCAGAAAATTCACATAAGCACAGCTGGAAACAAGCGTAGAGGATTTTGCTTCATGGGTAGTAACTGAAATCAGCTGGTCTCAATGCTGCCACATTCAGATGCTACAGATTGCTACAGATTCATTTTGTGATGAATGGGGATGGGGGCGTGCATAAATCACCATCTGCATTTGGCACTGGGCCTTTCTGTGAATCTCCCTTCCAAATAGGTACCACTATGTGTCACAGCCTCATATGCTTGTGGTTTCAAAATACCCTAACCATGGGCCTTGCAGATTTCTTGCGCTGCAGCCAAGGGAGGGGCAGGGAGAAGGCTGCCTTGCTTATCTGGCGACTGGACATTGCATCTGAGCTGGCAGGATAAAAGAAAAACAAGAGGGAAGGTCTAAATAGCTTAGGAGGTTAACTATAGCTCAAGCTTTCCACGTACAACCTACTTAAACAGCCCCAAACAAAAAAAAGAGAAAGACAGATCCTACCTTCCGGGGCAGATATTATGGACCTCTTGACAATATGTGCCCTCATGTGGTATAAGCAATCTAGAACAACTATGGTAAATTGACACCATGGTTTCAGTGATTAATCAAACATAATTCTAATTATTCACTGACACAGCTAAGTTTTAGGAATGATCCTTAGGAATGATTCTTAGTAAATATCATCACTTATATTAGTCAGAATGTTATTAATACAAATATTTCAAAAGTTATGAAAAACACTGCTGTATCTCTGCTCATAAATACTGTCATTAGGCACCTGCTCATCCAACATCTGAACTTTTCACTTTAATTCAGCTGACTCCCTTGGAACAATAAATTTATTTTGAATACTGAGTCAAATAAATAGGCCATTACATATTTGATCCTTATCAGTGCAACAAGTGACTTCATTAACCAGCTGAATCTTCCCGGTCCTACATTTTTTACTGCACTGTACAGTGCTGGGCACAATAAATACAGAAATAATAGTGAGAAAAATAGGAGGAAGGAAGATTAAGGCTACTCAGCCATGTGATGATGTTCCATGTGGAGGGGGCAGCACAGAAGATGGCATGAAAGCAGGAGTCGGAGTTTGGAAAGAACATGAGTATTTTTCCTCAATAAAACAGTCACTGGCTCCCCTGATGTCATGACTCCCACCTGCAAATGATTCCATGCGAATGCAGTCCCCTAATAATTTTACCTTGAGTTGCCTTGATACATGCACATCCCACTAAGTCTGATTTCCCACTGCAAATCACCTGCACAAACTTCCCTTCTGTACTCCCATCTTCTCTCCTATTAACCAGCAAGAGTCCTCATGCTTCAGGGCACAAACCATTATCCAAATAAAACAGGTCAGAAAGACTCTTCCTTTAATGGGCAAATTATTCCATAACTACCTACTCGGTTCTTTCACCTTTCTCTAAAACATTTTTAATAGATCACTGTTAAGAGATAGGATATTTGTTTAGACAGTCTGCTGACCTGAAAGAGCATTTTAATTTTATGTTCCCACTTTACAACTATATCCTCCTAAACAAGACACTCCTGTTACGTATAGATAAACGCTTACTATTCTCCTAAGAAAACCCCACTCCAGACGCAGTATTAATGCAATTAACTAACCTTGTAAAGAATGTGGTTTAGAGGTATCCACAAAGTTTTCCTGATGATCACACGGGTGAAAAATTAGCTGTTGCAAAACAGCAGGACATATTGTAGAGAAGCTTGAATTTGATACGTGACTGTTGTTCGGTATCCCATGCAAAGAAAAAATTTCCTCACCAGTCAAGCACTGGAACAAAAAGGGATTTTGCCAACTTAATACATGAATGCAAAACCAAAAAATAAGTCATACACTGAGAAACCCAAGAATTACAACATGAAAGTACTGTAATGCATTTTCAAGGAATTGTACACAGCGTTTGTACGCTGTGCATGAAAACGCTGTGATTGCTTAATGTGAAGCAGAAGTGATTCAAAGTATTTTAAGTAAGATAAATCACAAATCAATGAAACATGTTTTAAACAGACATTTGCAAATCTTATACCCTATGAACCAGGACAGTTAAACCTTACAATATATTTGGAAAAATACCTTCAAAGTAATTAAAGTCTCATGTAATTACAAAATAATTAAATTTAAGAGCAGACCAGATACAGTTAAAATCTCAGTGACAGAGTATGTCAGAAAATTACTGTTTATTCATGTAAGTGACCACTTCTATTTTACAACGCTTCTTATTTATCTCCCCAAATTAGCTGTTTAAAAATGGTCTAAATGTTAGCAGCACTCAACATTTTTCATTCATTTTATAGCAATAATTGTTAACAGCAAACATTGTTTTGTAAAACCATCCTGTACTCCAATGAGATAAACTCTTACTCGGGATCTTCACTTTGCCTTCAGCTCAGGACATAACAGTATCTAATAGGTCAAGGATAAATGTATTTACCAGTGCTAAACCAGGCCAGGGCCAGGACCAGTTGCTCTGTTTGTTATTTTCAACCAAAAAGATAAAAGACAAACCATAAAATATCTTAAAATATACATCTACAGAAAAATTGAGTATTTTATATGAAATGTTCTATACCGCTGAAGTCTTTCATCTAACACTTTCCATTTATTCACATTCATGATTTCCTACAACGATCAATTAGGAAAGAGTGTTCCTTTTTGGGTGTAAACAAAAGTGTTTTGGCTTATTGCTGTACAACAAACACATACTAAGGTCAAGTCTGAAGACAAAAAAAAAGTCAAACGTTTTCCTTCTATATGAGACATTAAGTTAGAGCATAACTCTCCCTGTAGCAAATCTCAGCATGGTTGCAAAAGTAGAGCACTGGAAGCCTTAGCAAAATAAAAACAAATGGTCACTCCCGGCTCTTTTCAGTTTTGCTAGCCTTCAGATTCCACAGCACTTCTCCAATAATTCAAGATCATTATTTATAAAGCAAATTCCTTCTAGAGATAAGCCAAAGCAACTGCAGTCATTTACTTCAACAGAGCTGCTTCCGCTTCCATTAGTAAAAATTTTTCTAATACTGACCAAAAGGTGAAAGGCGTGCACACATCATTGGAATGTGACTATTTCCGATTTAGCTTGGAGGAAGAGAACGTGCAGGCCAATTCAAGTGACTTCAGCTAAATTATATCCAGGATGTTTCTGTCCTTCCTCTTTAACCACCCAGCCTAGCAGAGCACTCAAGTACATGCTTGAACCTAAACATAAGTACAGATTTTTTTAAGGCCATGAGACCTTGAAGACTCAAATATATACAAGCAATGTGCATATACTTTCATCCTTCAATGCCAATGCTAATGTAAAAGTATCACAGATAAATATAGCTTGATAACAATGTCTTAAAAACAAGAAAATGTTTTTTTGTTTTAAAGCATGTTGCTCCATGTAATCTCCATGGAAGCAGTGCACAGAGGAATCACCAGTGAGGATACAGTCATTTAACAGCCCAATACATGAACCTCTGGAGCTTTCTAAACTGGTTACGTGCCTAATCATTTTACCGTTAGCTCTGCATTATGGAATAAAGCAAAATACATGGCTAATATGTCCAGTGTGAAACAAAGAGAGGATAGTTGTGGTCTGCAGGAATAGTTCCTATATGGTGCTTCTTGTATTAGTGGCTCACAGAGCCATTTCTGGAAGTCTACAGTGAAAAGCCCTTAGAAAAACAAGCCAGTAGGAGCTAACAATTCGTAACATAACTATCTCTAAGAGAAATCATCTTTAACTATCTCATTCCTAGAAATACAGAATGGATTGCTAGTATTTTAAAATACTAATATATTAGTATTACTATTAGTTCACAAAAATCCAAACCATGTTGTAGGTTGAAAAACAGATTATGGAGAGAAAATAAATCAGACACAGCATGAATTAGTAAACTTGAGACTTGTAACTTTGGCTACATTCAAACAAATAAGCGAGAAATACCATCGGACAAGAGCTCTTTTATGTGAGGATGAGAAACAGCATTTTATTTAATTACTATTATTATTTTGATCAGGGACAATCCCAGAGGATAATGATTCCTATAAATGATTCATTATTATAAGTCACCCCATCCTCTCAGTAAACTCCTACGTATATCCAAGAGCTAAAAAGCAAGCTTGCATGAGTTCACTGACACAATTAAAGGATTAATTAAAAGATTAAATCTATTAGAAGCCTTGGATTGGACCAACTCATGTTTGCACACTGCAAAACTCTGCATTTATCTTTGGAGGATAAATACGTTAAGACAGCCACACTGCTGTAAAAACAAAACCTATTTATTTTGTAAGACTGACAGATGATCTCAGCAGAAGGGAAATTTAGCCTCACGGAACAGGGAACTGAGAATGACATCCTGGCTCACCAAGTCTACCGTCGTGTCTGTCCCCCGCTATTCAGTAAGCTTTGTCATAGAGATTAGGTGAGGGGACTGGCTGTAATGTGACTGTCACCCAGTGTTTAATAAACAATTGCAAAAAAGATATGACATAACTGATCATGTCCCTGAACTGTTAAAAAATAATTTAAAAAATGCTTTCATCAAAATTAGGGAGGACTTAAATCAGTAGAATTTAAGTCCAATTACAAAGTATTCAGACTTAATAAAAATTAAACCATCAACTGGGTTATTCAAACAGATGTTTACTTTTCTCCTGGTAAGGCTCTCCCAAAAATGATTGACCAATATGAGATTTTTTTTTTTTTTTGAAATTAAAAGATTAAATCTATTAGAAGCCTTGGATTGGACCAACTCATGTTTGCACACTGCAAAACTCTGCATTTATCTTTGGAGGATAAATACGTTAAGACAGCCACACTGCTGTAAAAACAAAAGCTATTTATTTTGTAAGACTGACAGATGATCTCAGCAGAAGGGAAATTTAGCCTCACGGAACAGGGAACTGAGAATGACATCCTGGCTCACCAAGTCTACCGTCGTGTCTGTCCCCCGCTATTCAGTAAGCTTTGTCATAGAGATTAGGTGAGGGGACTGTAATGTGACACTGTCACCCTGTTTAATAAACAATTGCAAAAAAGATATGACATAACTGATCATGTCCCTGAACTGTTAAAAAATAATTTAAAAAATGCTTTCATCAAAATTAGGGAGGACTTAAATCAGTAGAATTTAAGTCCAATTACAAAGTATTCAGACTTAATAAAAATTAAACCATCAACTGGGTTATTCAAACAGATGTTTACTTTTCTCCTGGTAAGGCTCTCCCAAAAATGATTGACCAATATGAGATTTTTTTTTTTTTTTAGATGGTAACTGAAATAAAGTGATGCCCAACTATCTAGAATCTCTTTACACCAGTATCTTTATAAATGAAAAGCCGATGCCAGCTCACCACAACCTTTGAAGGAAAGGATGGGATAATTGCTCAGACAAAAATAATGCAGAGAGGACCTCTAACTGGAAAATTAACAAAAAATGCTACAGTACCAACCATCTTGTAAATGCTTCAGTCCCTTTTCTGCCATGTTCTTATCTTTGCTCTACCTTTATCTGTAGCATTCCACATCTGAAGTACTAAGATACCCAACAGCAACTTGGACTGCAGTTTCTAGATGTTTCCAGATTAAATGCTAGCCTAGCCCACGCTAGGGCTGAGCAGTAGGTCACGCAGTAGCAACAGCAAAGAAAGAATCCAGTGAATGCCTATCTGACCAGCATTCGTTTTTTTTTACTTAGCCTGAGCCTGGATAAGGCAAAATAGAGACATATGACTATGTCTTCCTCAACTTACTTGTAACGAATTAAAGCATCTAATGTTGATCTGGTGACACCTTTTTGTCACTCAGCACAGGTAAGAACTGGATGCTAGGAGATGACCATGCCTTCAATAAACAGCGCTCGATGAGAAAAAGTCAAACCAGATGAAGCTGCTTGAATGCACTTGTGTGCTTTAGGGATTTCACACACCTCCCCACATGTTCAAGGCAGCTGTTCATGCTGGGAGCTGAAAACTGTCCATGAATGCTGAAATTTGCTCAAGACATTGTAGAAATAAGACACTTAGAGGGTAGAACAAATAAGCCTATTTATCTACTCACTGGCCAGGCAACATCAGATCATGGTGTTGGATCAAGACCATAGGCCACACTCTACCAGGCCATTCCCCCTTCTTTCAAAAAGCGCAAGTTATAACTAGCGAAACACTACCAAAAAAACAAAAATCAAAGCAAATACTAGCCTGGTTCTAGTCTATCTGAAACACCAAAGTTACTGGGTTTTGACTCATCTTGAGGTGAAAAATAATTATATTTTATCATGAGTATTAATAAAGATTTTAACTTCATTTTGTCCAAATGTTTTGTTTAAAAATTAAAAGGCATTACATCAAGATAACAGTATTCAGGCATAACACATAGGCTGGCATAAATATAGACTTAGAAAAGTCAAAGAAGGAAATTGGAGCATGATTTTAGCACCTACTGATTATGTCAAAGCACAAACTAAAGGTGATGTTAATAAGCTTTCTTTCCAATGCCCGTTTACCTTCCATGTATTTTTTGACCAAAACTTCTGAGAATATAATTTAATCCTCCAGCACACACATGTATGGCTATCATACTACAATGAACCCAATGACAGAAGATCAAGTATAGTTTCATGTTTTTACATCTTGCTAATAATATAAAATTCAGAATGAGTAAACATACCATCATTTATTATACTGGAATTGCTAATTTTATCCCTATTAGTAGGTCTAAAATGTGTTGGAATTCCATAGTAAAATGTGAAAAAACAGCAGTGACCAGTATTTGAGTTTGCTCAGTTACTACTAATTTCTCTGATAGGAAGTCTTAGCTTATATAGTAAGGAAAGGTGACAGCAGAAAAATTGAAGAGAAAGGAAAATATAAACACAAAATAAAGAGAATTATAAAAGTGCATGATGAAAGAAAAAAAAAAAGAGACCAAAAGCATAAGGAAATGGAGACAGTTCAATCAAAAATTCCAAAACAGTACTCAAAAAAATTGTTTTCTTTTTTGTGTTTTACAGGAAAAAAAATTAGCATCTTCATGGACATCATAGGACATAAGTTACCATAAATGCCTACATAAGTATACATTGAAACACCATCATCAACAAATTAAATCATTTTTTCTTCTCCCTTATCTTTCCAAGTCAACCTGGTATCAAAGGAAAACAGAAATCAAGCATCTATCTTCTTCTGGCTTACACATCCAAACTCTTTCAATGGATCAGCTTCTGGTGGATCTTCTCTTGGGAGATTAATAGGATTAACAAAATTGTTATGAATGAAACATTTAAACTAAACACTAATACTGAGATAAAACTAAAAGAGACTATTCCTTCCTACCAGTTTTTAGAAATATAGATTTAGAAAGTAGATTTAGAACTTGTATATATACAAGTGCTGTATCATCCGTCCCTTACAGATCAGCTCTCCACTAAAATTACTTCAGGCTTGGATGAGGGACACTCTGATAGAGCAGGGGTTTGTTACCTTGACTGGAAGAAAGGCCTGGGAGTCATGCCACTAGCTCTCGACACTGAAGTTAAGAACTGAAAGTCAAAGATAAACCTTGTTTCCTCCTACATTCAGATATTTATGCAGCCTGAATGGATTCAGCCTACCTAAGAAAGACCTGAATCACTCTCCAGAGGTATTTACTTTCCTGCATAGAGAATCAGTAGAGCTTAGGCCTCTGATGCCTTCCAACACACAAAGTTAGATTAGGCCACTTTATGTCTTCTGTCATGACCAGTAGATACCCTAAATTATCAACTTCTAAGCACAAAGAATCACAGTGTTTGAAAATGATCACATACGATTTACTTGGTATGAGTATGCATTTGCATGCACCACCTGCCCAAAGTCATTGATATACCTAACATCTATGAGGGATCAAAAGCCAAGAGGTGAAATGCACTTGTTTAAATGGTACTAGCTGACGGAGCAGCCGTAAGGCCAATTTTAAGAAAGAATACAAGTAACTCAGTGAAAGAGTATACGCATTTCAGTATGAGACCTTAGATATTATTAAAAATGGACACAACTGGAATAGGCTTGTAAAAAAATTTTGTTTCAGTTAAACTTCAAATGACTTATGAGGAACACGCATTTACAGTAGTAAGAAAGAACATTACTTTTTTTTTCCTCTGTAGCCTGTGCCAAAGCCTGTGTACGAGGGCTACGTGCTTTTGCAGAGGGAAAACCTGAAGGACTGAAGAATCTACTCATTTCTATGCCCTTTTAAAGAAAGCTCCTTTTCATAGCCATATTCAACACTGCAAACTTGTATTTAGCGCGTGTGGCTGGGAATGTTTATGTTTTTAATACACTGTGTTGGAAGTGTGTTCAATTTGTGAGATTTGAAAGCAGTGACTCTGGCAAATATTGCCATGCTTATACTGAATACTACATTGATTTCAGTGGCATTAACTCCCAATTAAACCTTTGGTAAGGGTAAAGACATCAGAACTGCGCTCTTCCTAAAACAAAGGGAGCTTATCCAAGGTTTGTCTCCTTCACAGAACAAGCAAAAGAGCTACTACTCCAAATGTAAAAAA